TTCCTTACGCTGTGACGATGACGCCATCTACTTCTTCTGACAAAATACCAATAATATATATATATATATATATATATATATATATATATATATATATATATATATATATAAAGTAAAATACCAATTACTTTTCATAGCTATTACGTTTAAAGCTTGCAATAATTGTACAGGCTTATTTAGCGTCCTAAAGCAATTAAAAGATATTTTCAAAGATTTCTTTATATGTTTAAAATTTAATACCTTAGAGTCAGATTTTAGACACGTTTTGTGTTGCAATTTTTTAAGTTAAATATTTTAAAATTAGATACGTCAGGTTAAATCATAGTTTGTAGTACTTACCTCTTGTCACTCACTGTAATACTTTAAATTTTCTAGTCTGTGTCGCTTTGGATTGTTCAAAACAAAGTATGACCGCAATCGTGATTATATATGTAGTATTTCAATAAAGTGTTCTTGAGCCAATTAATGTTGTTACCATCAGTGTCTGTCTTTTTATTCTTAATAATCTTTTCTCTTAACTTAACAGCGTTTAAAATACATCTCTTGTTCGATAACATTTTTATTTATTTATATTTTAAAAACAGCGTACATGCTGGCTTAGAGGATACACTCGCATGAATTTTACAGTCAGTAATGGCGCAGTCACACACAAAATAGAGCGTCATCTGGGGTGGCCAAAGTAACAAACGGCGTCTGTAATCAGCCGCATAGCGCAGAAATTTTGCCGCTCTTTATGGTAATTTCATTTTCAATATTGTCGACGACAGTCGCTGCACGGTGTTAACTGCCTCGGCGAAGTTCTCTTCATTATTATGCTAATGTATGAGACTCGTTCTCGCGGCGAGTGTTTGCTTCCGGCAGACAAAGTTATTTTGTTAAGTTCCTTTATATATTCTTTTAAAAAAAATTATTTTGCTTAAAAAGGACCTTAACCCCCACACTAGGATTTATCGGGAGGTGGGGCAGTTTACATACATAAATTGTACAAGGCTAATCACTCATATACAGAACAATTATTAATATGGGCAACAGCCATACGTGCGGGTTTTGAACCGTCGGCCTTCAGCGCTGCAACTCATTGCTAACCTGACAGCTGTCAAAATATTTTTTTTTATATAGGAAAAGGGTGACAAACGAGCACACAGTCCACCCGATGGTAAGTGGTTGCTGTGACCAATAGACATCTACATCTATCCTCGATTACGAATCGAAATGAAGATGTCACCCTTGAGGACCAATGGAATGCTATTTTCTTTTCTCTCGTTCTCTACACACACCATACGAAACACAGCACTGCTATTTGACGCTGGTATTCTGTGAGAGCGTAGTCCCTCCCCGGTCGAGCCGACTCATTCGTGCTACAACTATACAATTAATATAGCTGCAGCATGGCTCTACCTTGTATAAACAAATTATATTGCACTAATAAATAATCTTGCGTCATGCCACAGGACCTCGCTCTCACAAAATAACAGCGTGAAATAGCAGTATAATGCGTTTCATATGGTGAGCGATGAGAACTAAAGACTTGCTGGTAAATGTTTAGTCCTCGGGGGTAACAACGCATCTGCAGCCATCTTTGTCAGAAGTTGTCTAACTGGGTTGCAAACTGCTTCCACGATACAGGAGAAAATCCTAGTGTGTACCGTGGATTCGATTACTAGCGGTACAAGTATTTATAACCGTAGCACTGATATTCTGCCGGTGCCCTTATCTAAAGTTCACAGACATTCGCCAAACATAAACAATATAAATACAATTTGTTTATATAACTGATGGATGAATGATAACAGTGGTAGAGCCACGCGGCAGCTTTGCTGTTGCACGTATGGGCCGGCTCAAACAGGGGTGGTACCACGACCTCACAGAATACCGGCGTGAAGTGGAAGCCCTCCTTCCGCGTTTCGTCTGGTGAGTGCAGGAAGTACCTCAGACATGAAAAGAGTATAAAATAAATAGTGAGTTGTCTGTTTGTAATGAAACGGAAAAAGAAACAGAAACGTTTTTATTCAATAGATTATAAATAATACTTCAGTTACTTTTTATATTTACCACTGGTTCTGAAGAAAACCTCTATACTGAGAAGAACCAGCAAGAAACACAGTGCGATTTAAAAAAATAACAGTTTACATTAATATATATATATATATATATATATATATATATATATATATATATATATATATATATATATATATATTAATAACACAAATTAGAAATAGCTTGGTAGCGATCACCTTTTCCAGGGGTTATTACCATCCATAAATTCGTAAATATATTAAAACTTTTATACAAACAAAAGTTTTTGAACTTTGTGCAGGTCAAATTTTGTATATTTATTATAAAGCTTTTTACGAAATGCATATGAAAGTACATACGGTACTTATAACAAAAACAATTTTTAAAATTTTCGTCTGTCTGTCTGTTTGTACCAGCTAATCTCCGAAACACCTCGAGCGATTTCTACGGGACTTTCACTCGCATAAAGCTGATGTTGTAAGAAGTAACTTAGGCTACTTTTATTGTAGAAGAAGAATTAATGTTCCGCGCGAAAAAATTTAAAGCTATGAAATCCAATCGTAATAAATTCGACGCGGGCAAAGTCGAGGAATAGCTTGTCACCTGATTAAGTAGAATAAAGTAACTAGTTGGATTTAAGTTCGCCATTCTTCAATGGATATGTAGCAACCTCTTGGCCACCAGGGCCTCGCCTGTAAATTAGCACGGAGCACGGCTTGTATATATTGCTATTATATAGGCTTATTTTGCAATAACCGGCCAAATTTGCAGAGAAGGTTCAGAATAAGTAACATAGGAAAATAGTGAAGAAAAATTAAACAAAAAAACATCTCAAACATTCTGTCCTTTTTATCTTTTAAATTACTCGTAAAATGCATGGTAATCAATTATTTTAACTGCGCATGCACACATCCGTAAGAATCGGTCGGTGGCCAAAAACGTTGTAGCCAGTAAAACACATCCAATTTGTAATGATTTCAAATAAAAGTAGAAGCTTTACTTACTCGTATTATTAGTAACTGCAATAAGGGTACATCGTTATTTATATACTTGAACTTAAATACAAAATTTCGCTACTCTTTGAAAAATAACCCTGTATCTTTTTTTTGTATCCTTTATTTACAACAATCTGTCGCCTTTGAGGGACATTCAGCGGTATGTTTGTTGGTGCTATCGCTGGCGTGCTTGGTATGTGACCTGTGTCACATCCTCATTATTAAACAGTAACTGGGTTTACTGTGTTTGTATTTGTATTAAATCTTGTGGTATCTTGCGCTTTAAGCGTCGCGCTTTGTTGTGGTTTGCCATGAGTGGCCGGGCCAGAATATTTGGATGACGTTCGATGCGCTCTTTATAAGTTCTAGTATGGCGTAGGATTTCCTGTTTCACAGTATACAAACGTAGATCATGATGTAGAAATTCGTTGGGCACATACCAGGGGGCATTGGTTATCATGCGGACTGCTTTATTTTGAAACCTTTGTAAGATTTCGATGTTTGAATGGGATGCAGTACACCACAGTTGGATTCCATACGTCCAGATAAGTTTTAGTATTGCCTTGTACAGAAGTATTTTGTTTTCTAGAGACAATTGAGATTTTCGTCTTATGAGCCAGTAGAGTTTTCGCGTTTGAATACCGAGTTGCTTTCTCTTACTGAAAATAAGTTTTTGCCAGGTAAGTCTTTTGTCCAAGTACAATCCAAGGTATCTCACATTATCTGCCTGCGGAACTACAATGTTGTTAAGTGTGACTGGGGGGCAAGAGCCCCTTATTAGGGTGAACGTTACGTTTACTGATTTGGTTTCATTTGCTTTTATCCGCCACTTTTTGAGCCAGTGGGATATGTCATTTAGCCCTTTTTGAAGTATTTGTGAGGCTATTTTTGGGTCGCTATGAGTAGCCAGTATAGCGGTGTCATCAGCAAAGGTTCCAGAGATTAATGATTCCGATGTCGGCAGGTCCGGAGTGAACAGTAAGTAGGGTATGGGACCCAGTACGCTGCCTGCGGGACTCCTGCTTTTATAGAGCAGAGATCTGATAGAGCTTCTCATTGTTGTACTATGAAATGGCGCTGCTGGAGAAATGATTTTAATATCCCGTAAAGGTGATCTGGTAGTGCATTTTTCAATTTAAATAACAATCCCTCATGCCACACGCGGCCAAACGCTTGAGATATGTCCAGGAACGCACTGGCGCAGTAAGATTTACCTTCCATCGACTCCATTTTTTTTTTATAGAATAGGGTGACAAACGAGCACACAGTCCACCTGATGGTAAGTGGTTGCTGCGGCCCATAGACATCTACATCTATCCTCCATTAAAAATCAAAATGCAGATGCGTTGTCACCCGTGAGGACTGAGATGGAATGCCTCGTTTCCAGTAAAAAGGGTCTCCGGTTCTCTACACTCACCATACGAAATACAGCAGCATTAAGCTACTATTTCACGCTGGTATTCTGTGAGAGTGTGGTCCTTCCCCGGTCGAGCCGACCCATTCGTGCTACAACTATACTACTAATATAACTGCAGCATGGCTCTACCACGTAAGAATAAATATCAAGTATTTTGTCTGTGCACTTGGTCGATAGTGGCATGCTTACTGCGGAATCCAAACTGGTGGTCAGGGATTAGCTCCTTCTCTTTGAGTATAGGCAAGATTCGTTGTAGCAGTAGGGATTCATATATTTTGGATGGGATGGGTAGCAGACTTATGGGCCTGTACGATTTTGTTTCTTCAGGTTGTTTCTCTGGCTTTAGCAGCATTATAATTTGTGCGAACTTCCACTCCAAGGGAAAAAACTGCAGTCTGGTCATGGCATTTATTGAAACCGGGCCAAATTAGGAGTACCCTTAACCGACGAGCATGTATGCGTAGGTGTATGGATGTGAAGGAGGCGAGAGAGGTGTGTCAGGATCGTGCCAAATGGAAGTCTGTAGTCTCTGCCTACCCCTCTGAGTGACAGGCGTGAGTGTTTATGTATTATGTATGTATGGTCATGGCATTAAATAGTGAAGTAAGAAAAGTTATGCCAGATTCAGGTAGTTCTTGTAATATTCGGTTTGTAATGAGGTCGTATCCTGGAGTCTTTTTTTCGTTTGATTTTCTAATTATTCGAGCAAATTCTGTTTTTGTAAATTTAAGAGGCATTTCCTGCGTATCTTTTGGGTTATTTGAGTGGTTAGTAATTTCTGCTGCATCTTCTGGTGAACCGTCATATGGGTGAGGGGTAAAGACGTTGGAGAGGTCTTCTGAGAAGGTTCTGGTTTTCTCCTGGTCTGTCCGTGCCCAGGTACCATCTGGTTTTCTTATAGGAGGAGAGACGTTGACAGGCAGTTTTAGTCTTCTGGTGGCTTTCCACAAAGAGTAGTCCGAGGAAGCAGTAGTATCCAGGTCGGTGAGGTAATTATGAAATCCGTCATTACGATCTTTCTCTAGGATGTGTTTTAGCTGTCTATTGGCGTGATTGAGTTGTTTTTTCGCCACAAGGTCTCTGGTTGTTTGCCAGGGTTTTCGTATCCTCCTTTTTTTGATTATTTTATCGAATATGTGTTTCGGTACATGGGTATCCAGGTTTCTAGATGGTAGTGGTGGGGTCGATAACCAAGCTGCATCTTGCACACTCTTGTTGAAGTATAGCACCGCTTCCGTTATTTCGTCTTCCGATTTCAGGCTAACTGATTCTTGGAATGCTTTGTCTGTGAGCTCACGAAATAGAGACCAGTTAGTTCTATTGTTTTGCAGAACACATTTTCTGGCGCGTTCTTGGGTGGTGGTATGTAGTTCTACTATGATTGGAGAGTGATCTGAAGATAAGTCCCAGCAACTCTGGCACGATATGATGTTCTTAGCGATTCCTTTACTGACACAAAAATCTATAACATCTGGGATTTTTCTTTTGTCTGTTGGCCAGTAAGTTGGTTGACCCGACGATATCACGTTCATAATTCTTTTTTGTATGCATTTAAGGAGTTCACGCCCTCTGGGTAGAACAAGCCTGGAACCCCAAAACGAATGCTTGGCATTATAATCGCCTCCTGCGATAAACCTGCCTCCAAGTGATTGAAAGAAGTTACTGAACTCCGATTTCTTGATAGTGAATCTAAGTGGACAATAGAGGGCCGATATTGTAATATCACTAATCTCTTAGATTGGCTCTCCAGTCACATTCCGTAAAATATTCCATATGTAAAATATAATATATAATAAAATAATAATAAAAAATACATATATATATATATATATATATATATATATATATATATATATATATATATATATATGTATTTTTATGTTATGTAATATAAAACTGGTGGAAGTGATTTCTGCGTCTGAGTGATTACTGGTAGAAATTGACTGGATCGTGATTTCTTGATTTGGTGACAATAGAACACTACATTTCCGCTTCGCGTTCGATGTGTGTAAAATGAAAGTTGACGGACTACATATTATGTCTTACTTACTCCGATTCCTTGTAATATCACTAATCCAGTCTGTTACCACGACATTTGTTGCCTGGATGTAGTTTTTGCAGTAATGTTGTAGTACATGATGCCTGATGTTTGACCTGATAAAAACGGTCGATCCTCCATGTGCTTTGTTATTTGGGTGGTCAGTATGGTACATGTATACAACATGGCTGGTAGGCTAAAGTGGCTTTTGGATGTGAAGTGGGTTTCTGAGATTAGTAAAACATCTATGCGGTGCATTTTAACGAATATTTTCAACTCTTCCGAGTGGTTTGACAAGCCATTAGCATTCCATACACACAATTTTAGTGTTGTGAATGTGGTGGCATTTTTGAAATTAAATCGGTTAGCGTTTTGGTCATGATTAACATTTGATTCATCAAGGCCTAGTCCTGTCCAAGGCCTGTCTCCTATAATAATTTGGAGCTCACTCGTGTTTTGGTTTCCATACTTAGTGTTCGTTGTTTGTGTTGTAGGTTGTCCAGGGACTTCTTGTGTGGCTTGGGCATACGATTTTCCGTTATATGTTGATTTGTCTGTAGGTTCTTGTTCCTTTCTAGTGTATCCAGGGTTTTTCCTAACTTTGGTGATTGGATGGGGATATCGGACTTTCAACAGTTCTTTGTAGACTGTGCAACCTTTGTAGTTAGCTGGATGGTTTCCCTCGCAGATGACACATTTAACCTCTTTTGATCTGTCTTTCCGTAAGCAAGCTGAAGTGTGGTGCGAACCTGCACATTTAATGCATCTGGGCTTTATATTGCTATATATATGCGATAGTGTAGTAGATATTTGACGTTATATATGTCTTTATTATTTTCGCGGGGCTCCAGTTTGATGTTTCACATTGGTAGCGCCTGTTTTGTTCTTGAGTTTTGGATGTTCCAGACATTTACTACTTTGTGGTGAAGTTCCTCAATAGCTATTTTTATATCCTCTTTGTCTGTAGATGGGTGCAGATGTTTTAGCACAACTCTAAAACTGCGGTCTAGTTTTGGTAGGTAACTATAAAATTCGGTATCTTTAGCCTTTAGTTCTTTATAAATGGTGGAGTATGATTCAGCTGATTTTGGTTGTATTTTAACTCTGTCACCTTGTAATACCTTGATTTCATATTCTCCTTTTGCTACGTCTTCTAATAGTTTCATCAGAGGTTGTATATTCTTGACTCCGTCCATAAATAGTGGAGGAGGTCTTGTGGGCTTCGGTGTTTGTATTTCAGGCTTGTCTGCTTGCTCTATAACTTCGAGCCCTTTGAATCGATTGGATGTTGGTACTGCTGGTGTTGCAAGCCAGTAGTTCAATTTTGCCTGCTTTTGATTGCGCATAACTGCATCTGAACTGGATCTTTGTCTTTTGCCGCAGTACACTTCTGTGAACAGCTGTTCTTCGGATTCTTTATCTGTTTTATCTGCCAGTTCGATGTTCCCTTGATTAGTTGCTCCACTAAAGGAGCTTAATCTTGGGCTGTTTGTCAACATTCCTTTATCGAAGAGTTGTTGGGTCATAGTTTTTGAGTTACTCTTATCTAATTTTTGTTCGTTTTCAGGGTTATAATTGCTCATCTGTTCCCACGAGTAGGGTCGATTAACACGTCACAGGAGGGGTAACGCCCATTCCCTCAAGAAGGCAATATACAACGGCGTTTGAAAGGTTCGCCGAGGTTGGCGCTAAGGACTTGCCTCCTGCAAGCCATGCATCCCATCGGCACGTAGTCACCTTAGGATTAGGGTAACTTTTTAAAGAGGTGTTCTACCTCGCGGCCCGGACGGCTAAGCCAAGGCTCTCGATTCTGTGGATGCACAGAGTTGCGAGTTGTAGTTTTATTATAAGTTTTGAAAATTTTATGTTATGTAATATAAAACTGGTGGAAGTGATTTCTGGGTCTGAGTGATTACTGGTAGAAATTGACTGGATCGTGATTTCTTGATTTGGTGACAATAGAACACTACATTTCCGCTTCGCGTTCGATGTGTGCAAAATGAAAGTTGACGGACTACATATTATGTCTTGAGGTATCGTTCTTAAAGTCTTTGAAGTCTTTAAAAATCATATCTAGATTTCTCTAATGGTTTTTTATTTAAAATGACCATGTAGGATCTACAACGATTCAAAGTTAGTTAGCGACCATTGCCCATTTGACCATTGTAGCTTAAATTTTCAAAACTTATAATAAAACTATAATAAAGTTCTTATATAATCGTACAACTCGCGGAACGTAACTCTAGCGCTGAACGAAACGTTAGGTTACGGGAGACGGAATGTGACTGGAGAGCCAATCAGCGCGTGCGAACGTTTAGCAAAGCCAATCATACGCAATAATGCGCAATATGGCCACTTTTGCACAATAACGGTTACCGCTAGACTTTCGTTCCGCGAGTTGTATGATACGTATTATTAGTAATTTATTACGCACTTGGATTTTTTTAAAATACAGTATTAACCTTGCTTATTATATATGTAATAAGAAGAAAATTTAAGATAACTCACCGTATGACAAATCCTATTTAAAATAAAAAATATAGAATCTTATAATAAATTGCCTGACAATATACTAAGCTCTAAATCTATAATATAATATAGAGGATGTAGAATTACGTGCCTCTTAGTGTCTTATCTTTAGTGCTTAATCAGCATGTTCTATCAATCTAGTTCAAATAATCATTAAGTTGCTGTATCGACTTACAATCAGGTGATTAATAGAATCAGGCATTAATTTTGCGGTAAATTATTACTGTAAGGATGAGCTTATTAATTAGCTAAGGTCTATGAAAATTTAAATGGAATGAAATGGAACGAAATTAAAATAAAATAAATTACCGAAACTCGATAATCAAGGCATCGCAGTGATCCTGTCCCTGCTCTAAAAGGCTTCTCAGATATAAATGATAAAATAAATTGAAAGAAAAGAAAGAAAAAACATCTTTATTTGGAGCTATATTGTAAATAATTGCACCACGTGAATATTTACCTAAATTTCGTCTTGCTAAGAAATGTTGTAATAAATTTAAATATCTAGTTATATACAGGCTAGTTAGGTACACAACTCTGCCTTTGACGGTCCCAAGCCCGTATGAGAAAAGAGGAGGGTTGGTTGAGTGGAGATCTAACCAGCCGTAAAAGATCAACATCGAGCATCGAGCGACGGTAATTAACCCGATAAAACCCTGGCGTAACAAGCCAGAACCTGTTGGAGGTAGGAAATGACAGCCACAACTCGCAACTCTGTGCATCCACAGAATCGAGGGCCTTGGCTTAGCCGTCCGGGCCGCGAGGTAGAACACCTCTTTAAAAAGTTACCCTAATCCTAAGGTGACTACGTGCCGATGGGATGCATGGCTTGCAGGAGGCAAGTCCTTAGCGCTAACCTCGGTGAACCTGGCAAACGCCGTTGTATATTGCCTTCTTGAGGGAATGGGCGTTACCCCTCTTGTGACGTGTTAATCGACCCTACTCGTGGGAACAGATGAGCAATTATAACCCTGAAAACGAACAAAAATTAGATAAGAGTAACTCAAAAACTATGACCCAACAACTCTTCCATAAAGGAATGTTCACAAACAGCCCAAGATTAAGCTCCTTTAGTGGAGCAACTAATCAAGGGAACATCGAACTGGCAGATAAAACAGATAAAGAATCCGAAGAACAGCTGTTCACAGAAGTGTACTGCGGCAAAAGACAAAGATCCAGTTCAGATGCAGTTATGCGCAATCAAAAGCAGGCAAAATTGAACTACTGGCTTGCAACACCAGCAGTACCAACATCCAATCGTTCAAAGGGCTCGAAGTTATAGAGCAAGCAGACAAGCCTGAAATACAAACACCGAAGCCCACAAGACCCCCTCCACTATTTATTGACGGAGTCAAGAATATACAACCTCTGATGAAACTATTAGAAGACGTAGCAAAAGGAGAATATGAAATCAAGGTATTACAAGGTGACAGAGTTAAAATACAACCAAAATCAGCTGAATCATACTCCACCATTTATAAAGAACTAAAGGCTAAAGATACCGAATTTTATAGTTACCAACCAAAACTAGACCGCAGTTTTAGAGTTTTGCTAAAACATCTACACCAATCTACAAACAAAGAGGATATAAAAATAGCTATTGAGGAACTTCACCACAAAGTAGTAAATGTCTGGAACATCCAAAACTCAAGAACAAAACAGGCGCTACCAATGTGAAACATCAAACTGGAGCCCCGCGAAAATAATAAAGACATATAAAACGTCAAATATCTACTACATTATCGCATATCATTTGAAGCACCTAGACCAAGGCGAGTAATCCCCCAATGCACTAATTGCCAAAATTACAACCACACACAAAAGTACTGCAATAGACAGCCCAGATGCGTCAAATGTGCAGGTTCGCACCACACTTCAGCTTGCTTACGGAAAGACAGATCAAAAGAGGTTAAATGTGTCATCTGCGAGGGAAACCATCCAGCTAACTACAAAGGTTGCACAGTCTACAAAGAACTGTTGAAAGTCCGATATCCCCATCCAATCACCAAAGTTAGGAAAAACCCTGGATACACTAGAAAGGAACAAGAACCTACAGACAAATCAACGGAAAATCGTATGCCCAAGCCACACAAGAAGTCCCTGGACAACCTACAACACAAACAATGAACACTAAGTATGGAAACCAAAACACGAGTGAGCTCCAAATTATTATAGGAGACAGGCCTTGAACAGGACTAGGCCTTGATGAATCAAATGTTAATCATGACCAAAACGCTAAATTTATTTAAGCTACAATGGTCAAATGGGCAATGGTCGCTAACTAACTTTGAATCGTTGTAGATCCTACATGGTCATTTTAAATAAAAAACCATTAGAGAAATCTAGATATGATTTTTAAAGACTTCAAAGACTTTAAGAACGATACCTCAAGACATAATATGTAGTCCGTCAACTTTCATTTTGCACACATCGAACGCGAAGCGGAAATATAGTGTTCTATTGTCACCAAATCAAGAAATTACGATCCAGTCAATTTCTACCAGTAATCACTCAGACCCAGAAACCACTTCCACCAGTTTTATATTACATAACATAAAAATACATACATATATATATATATTATATTTATATATATATATATATATAGATCTCTTTACGGTAAATGTTGATCAGACGCGACTTCACGCGAGCACTTTGTTGATCCGAAAACGCATGTTGATCCGGCGCCTTTTGTTGATCCAATATGCATCTCTGGTAACTAATGTGGCTTCGACCGGATCAACATCTGCACTCACGAGACTGTTTGCTAGCGTTGGCCGAAGTTGATCCAATATACAAATCCACCTTGCGATGGTTACGGAAAATGTTGATCCGATTTAAATGAGCCAATCAGAGCACAGCAAACGATAAGATAAACGATCAGATTGGCTGAATACAGCCGTTGCCGTTTCGTATCTTTGGCGGTACAAGCTACAGATTAAATGCGTGTTATGTAATACATGCTGTTTGGTCTGTCTCGTTATTGTAATGCGCCGGGTATGTTCGCGGATGCGCATGTGGATTGTTTCTACACCACCATACGTAAACGATGCACATCCCTGACGCGCAGGGTGCGGGCTAGTTCCAATGGTATCCTGAGGGCATTTTCTGACAGATTTGAGGTCAGTACCTGAACCATTGTCATATGGTGCACGTGCTGACTAATCGGGCCTGTGTTATATATAGTTTTAAAATTAGGTAAATAGTTTTAAGATTTGTATTATTACTAACATCTATGATCCTTGTGGTCGAAATAAACGACTTTTTTTTAACGAATTACTCGGCAACGCCCCTTCTTGTAGCGGAAGTGGTAGCAACGGCGACATAAGGTATTCGTCTGAGTACGTGTTTGCGTGCGTGCGTGCGTGCGTGTGTGTGTGTGTGTGTGTGTGTGTGTGTGTGTGTGTGTGTGTGTGTGTGTGTGTGTGTGTGTGTGTGTGTGTGTGTGTGTTGTGTGTGTGTGTGTGTGTGTGTGTGTGTGTGTGTGTGTGTGTGTGTGTGTGTGTGTGTGTTTACCATAAACCAGTTAACATTCTACATCTTCATAATCAAGATTTTTAAGGACGCGTTTACAAAATTGATAGGTATAGAATCGAACTATTACATGAGATATTATCATGAGACCTTACCTCCGGGCTTGATGGAGTGACCTCAAAATATAATTCGGGATTACTTGTGGAACTCCTGGACTAGTAGAACTGGGTGTGCTGAGTTTGGGCTCGTTTTGTTAGTTATGATGAAACCGCCAGAAAACAAAAGTTGTTTTCACTTTGTCTCTAGTACCAATAGGTATCCAAGCTGATATTCGGAAAAATGAATAACCTCGTGGTAACATCTTTAGGGGCACTATCGATGTCCACTTACCAGCCATACTGTTTTTCGCTGTAACCAACAGTTCTTTAAATGAGCCTCACTTGCCCTCACGCGGTACCCACTTTACTGCACTCCAGTGCACCCACCACTACCTCTGCCACCTACGCCTCCACATCTACCACCGCACCCCTCTCTAAGCCTTCGTTCTTCACCTCCGTTACCTTCGCCTCCACCATAAACTCTGCTCCATCCGCCTCAACAATAAACTCCGCTCCCTCCGCCGCCACAACCACGCGCCGTCACTATTCTTTCCGCCTCCAACACAATTCCCCGTTTCCACTATCTAAGACTTCACCACAAATTCCTCTCCTCCGCCTTCACCACATACTACGCTGCATTCACCTCCGCCCCCACCATGTCTCCATTCTCCGCCTCCGTTTTCTGGGCGCACACACACACACACACACATACACACACAAACACGCACTCCGACGAACATACACGCACGCACACACCCGCACGCACACACACGCACGCGCATACACACACGCGCGCTTCGCGCACTCACATAAATATAGACACACACACACACACACACACATACACACACACACACACACACACACACACACACACACACACATACAAACACAGGCGCGCGCACACATACATACACGCGCGCGCGCACACATACACATACGCGCGAGCACTCGCCCCCGACACACACACCCGCACATACACTCAGACACACGCGCGCGCACGAACGAACACATATACACGCACAAGCACACACACACACACACACACACACACACACACAATACACACACACACACACACACAAACACACACTCGAGTGACAAATTAATTTGTAATAAAGTACTATCCATCATCTTCCATCATCTTATTCATGACAAATGAATAAAATAACACAAATTCACTCACACGGTAACAAAAACTCGAACAAACGTCTTTCCACAATAAAACCTGCCAAAGTTTGATCTACAAAATCAGCAGATAACGTATTTTCTTACCTTATTACTATAACGAAGTAGCCTACTGGGTTCTCTGTCACACACAGAACGCGACGTTGCCGTTTCGTGTTCGAGTACCTATTCGTCAGTTATGGCTCCGGATCCACTTAGTCTAAGTAAATGTCGCATATAAATTAAATATACTCTGGATCTAAAAAATCATATTCAGTATGATTTTTTAGACCGTTGGTAGATCAACAAATGTTGATCAAATCGCTGACGATTATTGATCCTGTTTGAGATCCACCGACGTCACACGCGCGTCAAGAATGGATCAAAGTATATCAGTATGTGAGGGAGCTGAGCAAACACGTCAAATAGGTGGATCAACAATTGTTCTAACTTCTCACTGGATAACATTTACCGTGAAAGGATATTATATATATATATATATATATATATATATATATATATATATATATATATATATATATATATATATATATAAATACTTACGCCTATCACCCAGATGGGTAGGCAGAGACTACAGACTTCCATTTAGCACGATCCTGACATACCTCTCTCGCCTCCTCCATATCCATATACCTACGCACACAGGCTCTTCGGTTAAGGGTGCTCTTAATTTGGCCCATTTTAATATATCGCCAATTTGGTCGACAAACTTTAGCTTAGGACGTCTCTTTCCGACTTTTCCATTCACTTCTACAACATATATTTGCTTTGTCAGTCTTTCCTAATTCATTTGTCTACATGACAAAACTACCGAAGCATGCCTTTCTTAATCCTGGTCACCGCATCATATTGCAAACCACACTCTTCTTTTATCACACAGTTTCTCACCCTGTCACTCAGATTCAGCCCTAACATACTTCTTAGCGACCGCATTTCTACTGCATTTATTCTACTCTCGTGCTTCTTCTGACACATCCAACTTTCACTACCATACGTTAAAGTAGCACTGTGAATTGCCATACGTGCCTTTTGTGACACATTCTGACTTTCACAATAATAATAATAATAATAATATAATAGGCGTAGGGAAGTGACGACCCCATCGCCCGCTGACGTAACAGTTATGTGACAAAACTGCGACGTCGGCGCAGTCAGTCAGCATCCTGCCAAGAGGTGTGAGCGCCGTGCCTAGGCAAAATTGTAGATGCAAAGGTCCGTTTGTGCATATGACCCAACCACGAAACGGTGCCGGGCTTGGGCGTCTCCCGTTATTTGGCGCCCATAAAATGGATGATGGAAGAAACACAAAAAGGAACGCGCATAGGGCCGCTGCCTGGGGGTCGCCGGGGCGCGTCTGGAGCTGGCGCTGGACGCGGCAGCATGCGGGCCGCCAGCCGAGCGCGAGGAGCTGCACGATCACCTAGCAGCCCCTCGCATCCATCATCCCCACCAGAAGGCTTGGTGTCGGCTGGGTCTTCTCGGACCCAGCAAGCGGCACCCGCCGCTGGTGGAGCACGTCGCATGCGTTGGACAAAATCCATGAACGAAAACGCATTGCGGGCGTACTATAGGGCGAAAGGGAAAGAAACTGTGGGAATAGCGTATAGGTCTCGGATGCATTGCTTTTTTGCTGAGCTGGAGCCGTCTATCCCCGTCACGGAACAAAACCTGGCAGACCGAGTTCGGTACATCATGCGCTCGAAAATATTTGATGGTGCCGAACTCGAACGACTACGACGTGAGGCTATTCCGTCGTCGAATGAATCGGCTATGGCTGGAGATGCAGCTCCACATTCGACAGACCAGCATCCACACGTGGAAGCCGCCATGGATCTTCCAGTTGTGGTTGATTCGAACGACGATGAAATAGTCTCCCACGAACTAGAGCAAATGAGGAGTATATTGGAAGAGGCGATTTTGGAAACGCGCAGCACCCCTCTCGAAAATCGACCGCGACTTCCCCCGCATACCCTTAAGCAAGCGAAATCGGGCTGTCGTGAGGGCTCTTAACCCAATGCTGGTGACCTATTTGGAAGCCAGCCGGGACCTTTGCGAGACGGACTCGATTCTCTTTGGCGCCGCAGTGGCAGTTTGCCGTATTATTGGCGCCAAACTTCCCATGGCTGGACGCGCTACTACACAAAGTAACGCCATCCCAGCCTGGAGGAAAAGAATCGAGGACCGTATCGCAAAGGCAAGGGCCCTTATCGGCAGACTGACAAGCTTCAGGTCGGGTAATAATAGACCGAGGATTATGCGCACCGTTGGGATGGCGTTTGCTGGGACAAATATCAGTTTGTCCCAGCCGGATATCACGCAGAAACTAACGGAGCGCATAGACGACCTGAAGCAAAAGATCGCTGCTTGGGGGAAGCGGATTCGACGATTTTCCGAGGGGTCAAGGCGGTTCAACCAGAATCGTCTCTTCCAGAGTGATCAGAAGAGGCTCTATAAATTATTGGAGCGACCAAAGGTATGTGGAGCGGGCCAAGGACCGGATCAGGCTGACATTATCGCATTCTGGCGTGGCCTGTGGTCAGAGCCCGTAAACCACAGTGAGGGCCCTTGGATGGAAGTTGTGGCGAGCCAGGGTGCGAGTGTTACGCCTATGGACCCCATCACCATAACGCCAGAAGACGTGGCTGAGGCGGTCCGTAGGGCCCCGAACTGGAAAAGTCCGGGGCTCGACGGGCTGCATCATTACTGGCTGAAGGGGTTCGTAGTGTGTCACGCTGTGCTCGCCCGACAGTTTCAAGAGGCTCTCGACCAGAAGTCACTCCCGAGCCTCTTCACTACTGGGATCACTCACTTGGTTCCTAAAGATCAGGATACCACAGACCCGAGCAAATACCGCCCCATCACGTGTCTACCCACCATATATAAGACACTGACATCCATTTTGAGCGCGAGAATCACTCGTCACCTGGAGCGAAACCAGGTGATGTCACGCGCTCAAAATGGATGTCGGGGCGGTGGTCGTGGAACTAAGGAACCACTCCTCATTGACGCGGTCATAGGCAAAGTGGTGAAACGCAACCGTCAGAACTTCTCTGCCGCCTGGATAGACTACAGAAAGGCGTTCGACTCGGTGCCCCATACATGGCTAAAGAGGGTCCTTTTCGAGCTGTACAAGATTGACTGTACAGTTAGAGACTTCCTCGAGCAGTGTATGGGGCAGTGGAGTACGATCCTTTGTCATCTGGGCGAGCGGATGACGGCTGCGGAGAACCACATAAGGATAAGAAGGGGTATCTTCCAGGGCGATTGTCTGAGTCCAATCTGGTTCTGCCTCTCTCTTAACCCTCTCAGTACCTTACTGGAGGGCTCCGGGAGGGGATTTCAGCTACGGAAAGGAGGGACAAAAGTGACCCACCTTTTTTATATGGATGACCTCAAGTTATTCGCTTCCAGTCGCTCCCATCTTATGGAACTGCTAAACATCACTTGTGAATTTAGCAGTTCCATTGGAATGGAGCTGGGGACGGATAAGTGTGCGGTCCTCCATGTTGAAAGGGGAAGGGTTGCTAACTCTGAGGGCATAGACTTGTCTATGCCCGTCAACTTAAGGACCCTTTCCGAGGCTGAAACATACCGATACCTGGGTATGTCACAGAACATCGGTATCGATGAGGCTGGTATGAAACAGTCAGTTTGCGACGTGTTTTATGCACGCTTGACCAAAGTGCTTAACAGCCTTTTGTCCGGTGTGAATAAAACACATGCACATAACGGCTGGGTCATGCCTGTCCTCATGTATACCTTTGGCATACTCAGGTGGACTCAGACTGAGCTTAACGCCCTGGATAGAAAAGTCCGCACTACCATGACGTCCCATAGGATGCATCATCCGAGATCGTCGGTAATGAGGCTGTACTTGCCGCGGAAGTATGGTGGGCGTGGCTTTCTGAGCGCGCTCACCATGCATAATCGCGAAGTGTGCAGTCTCCGTCAGTACTTCTTGGCGAGATCGGATGATCCATTCTATAATGACGTCATTTCTAGTGATAAAGGGCTTACCCCTCTATCCTTAGCCAACGAGCAATGGCAGGACCCAGCAGTGCTTAGCAATTCCGACCGGGAGACCGTATGGAAGGAGAAGGAGCTCCACGGGAGGTACTACAAGGCTCTACATGAGCCCTTCGTAGATACAGTCGCCTCCCTCAACTGGCTACGTTTCGGTGACCTCTTCGGGGAAACCGAGGGTTTTGTCTGTGCAATACAGGATCAGGTTATTAAGACCAACAACTATCGGAGATACATCCTAAAGGATGGCACCGTCGACGTCTGTCGAGCTTGTCGCCATCCCGGGGAGTCACTTAGGCATGTCATCTCCGGTTGTTCGGCGCTTTCTAACTCTGAGTACTTGCACAGGCACAACCTAGTAGCCAGAATTCTACACCAGGAGCTCGCTCTGAAATACGGTCTCGTGGACCGGAAATTGCCGTATTACAAGTACTTGCCGGAAGCCTTGCTCGAAAATGACCGCGCCAGACTCTACTGGGACCGGGCCATCATCACAGACAGGACTATTCTTGCGAATAAGCCTGATATTGTGCTGATGGACCGGGCACAGTCAAGGATATTTTTGGTCGATATTACCATCCCGTATGACGAGAACCTCGTGAGAGCCGAAACAGATAAGCAATCAAAATATCTGGACCTGGCTCACGAGGTGACGGACATGTGGGGTGGTCTGCCGGCCGAAATTATTCCTGTAGTCGTCTCTGCGAATGGGCTAATCCCAGTTAGCCTCTCTGGTCATCTGAGGCGACTGGGACTCCGTGACGGACCGCTCCGGGCTCAAATGCAGAAGGCGGTCCTCCTTGATACTGCCCGCATCGTACGCCGGTTTCTTTCCCTTTCTTCCTAACCCTTGGCCGTTTGGTCTCCCCTGCCGAGGGCTTCCATCTGGTTGGGCTTTTATTTATTTATGTATTTTTGTATTTATTTTATTTTATTGATATTTATGTATATTTATCCTTTCATTTTCGTTTATAATTATATATTTATACATCCCAACCAGATGAGAAAACTATATAGATACCCCACACATAATAATAATAATAACGACGACGACGAGAACCTCGTGAAAGCCGAAACAGACAAGCAAACAAAATATCTGGACCTAGCTCACGAGGTGACCGACATGTGGGGTGGTCGGCCGACCGAAATTATTCCTGGAGTCGTCTCTGCGGGCTAATCCCAGTCAGCCTTTGGGTCATCTGAGGCGGCTGGGACTAGTGGCGGAGCTCCAGGTCAAATGCAGAAGGCGGTACTCCTCGATAGCCCGAGTCCACCGGTTTCTTTCCCTTTCCCCCTGAACCCTCGGCCGTTTGGTCTCCCCTGCCGAGGGCCTCCATCTGGTTGGGCTTTTATTTATGTATGTACTTGTTATCGATTTCATTTTATGTTATTGTAATGATTTATGTATGGAGCTTGGGACGGATAAGTGTGCGGTCCTCCATGTTGAAAGGGGAAGGGTTGCTAACTCTGAGGGCGTAGACTTATCTATGCCCGTCAACTTAAGGACCCTTTCCGAGGCTGAAACATACCGATACCTGGGTATGTCACAAAACATCGGTATCGATGAGACTGGTATGAAACAGTCAGTTTGCGACGTGTTTTATGCACGCTTGACCAAAGTGCTTAACAGCCTTTTGTCCGGTGTGAATAAGGCACACGCATATAACGGCTGGGTCATGCCTGTCCTCATGTATACCTTTGGCATACTCAGGTGGACTCAGACTGAGCTTAACGCCCTGGATAGAAAAGTCCGCACTACCATGACGTCCCATAGGATGCATCATCCGAGATCGTCGGTAATGAGGCTGTACTTGCCGCGAAAGTATGGTGGTCGTGGCTTTCTGAGCGCGCTCACGATGCATAATCGCGAAGTGTGCAGCCTCCGTCATTACTTCTTGGCGAGATCGGATGATCCATTCTATAATGACGTCGTTTCTTGTGATAAAGGGCTTACCCCTCTATCCTTAGCCAACGAGCAATGGCAAGACCCGGCAGTGCTTAGCATTTCCGACCGGGAGACCGTATGGAAGGAGAAGGAGCTCCACGGGAGGTTCTACAAGGCTCTACATGAGCCTTTCGTAGACACAGTAGCCTCCCTCAACTGGCTACGCTTCGGTGACCTCTTCGGGGAAACCGAGGGTTTTGTCTGTGCAATACAGGATCAGGTTATTAAGACCAACAACTATCGGAGATACATCCTAAAGGATGGCACCGTCGACGTCTGTCGAGCTTGTCGCCATCCCGGGGAGTCACTTAGGCATGTCATCTCCGGTTGTTCGGCGCTTTCTAACTCTGAGTACTTGCACAGGCACAACCTAGTAGCCAGAATTCTACACCAGGAGCTCGCTCTGAAATACGGTCTCGTGGACCGGAAATTGCCGTATTACAAGTACTTGCCGGAAGCCGTGCTCGAAAATGACCGCGCCAGGCTCTATTGGGACCGGGCCATCATCACAGACAGGACTATTCTTGCGAATAAGCCTGATATTGTGCTGATGAACCGGGCACAGTCAAGGATATTTTTGGTCGACATTACCATCCCGTATGACGAGAACCTCGTGAGAGCCGAAACAGACAAGCAAACAAAATATCTGGACCTGGCTCACGAGGTGACCGACATGTGGGGTGGTCGGCCGACCGAAATTATTCCTGTAGTCGTCTCTGCAAACGGGCTAATCCCAGTCAGCCTCTCGGGTCATCTGAGGCGGCTGGGACTACGTGGCGGACCGCTCCAGGTTCAAATGCAGAAGGCGGTGCTCCTCGATACCGCCTGCATCGTCCGCCGGTTTCTTTCCCTTTCCCCCTAACCCTCGGCCGTTTGGTCTCCCCTGCCGAGGGCCTCCATCTGGTTGGGCTTTTATTTATTTATGTACTTTTATATTTATTTTATGTTATTGATATTTATGTATGGAGCTTGGGACGGATAAGTGTGCGGTCCTCCATGTTGAAAGGGGAAGGGTTGCTAACTCTGAGGGCGTAGACTTATCTATGCCCGTCAACTTAAGGACCCTTTGCGAGGCTGAAACATACCGATACCTGGGTATGTCACAAAACATCGGTATCGATGAGACTCGTATGAAACAGTCAGTTTGCGACGTGTTTTATGCACGCTTGACCAAAGTGCTTAACAGCCTTTTGTCCGGTGTGAATAAGGCACACGCATATAACGGCTGGGTCATGCCTGTCCTCATGTATACCTTTGGCATACTCAGGTGAACTCAGACTGAACTTAACGCCCTGGATAGAACAGTCCGCACTACCATGACGTCCCATAGGATGCATCATCCGAGATCGTCGGTAATGAGGCTGTACTTGCCGCGGAAGCATGGTGGTCGTGGCTTCTTGAGCGCGCTCACCATGCATAATCGCGAAGTGTGCAGCCTCCGTGATTACTTCCTGGCGAGATCTGATGATCCATTCTAAAAGGACGTCATTTCTTGTGATAAAGGACTTACCCCTCTATCCTTAGCCAACGAGCAATGGCAAGACCCGGCAGTGCAGAGCATTTCCGACCGCGAGACCGTATGGAAGGAGAAGGAGCTCCACGGGAGGTTCTACAAGGCTCTACATGAGCCTTTCGTAGACACAGTAGCCTCTCTCCACTGGCTACGCTTTGGTGATCTCTTCGGGGAAACCGAGGGTTTTGTCTGTGCAATACAGGATCAGGTTATTAAGACCAACAACTATCGGAGATACATCCTAAAGGATGGCACCGTCGACATCTGTCGAGCTTGTCGCCATCCCGGTGATTCACTTAGGCATGTTATCTCCGGTTGTTCGGCGCTTTCTAACTCTGAGTACTTGCACAGGCACAACCTAGTAGCCAGAATTCTACACCAGGAGCTCGCTCTGAAATACGGTCTCGTGGATCGGAAATTGCCGTATTACAAGTACTTGCCGGAAGCCGTGCTCGAAAATGATCGCGCCAGGCTCTATTGGGACCGGGCCACCATCACAGACAGGACTATTCTTGCGAATAAGCCTGATATTGTGCTGATGGACCGGGCACAGTCAAGGATATTTTTGGTCGACATTACCATTCCGTATGACGAGAACCTCGTGAAAGCCGAAACAGACAAGCAAACAAAATATCTGGACCTGGCTCACGAGGTGACCGACATGTGGGGTGGTCGGCCGACCGAAATTATTCCTGTAGTCGTCTCTGCAAACGGGCTAATCCCAGTCAGCCTCTCGGGTCATCTGAGGCGGCTGGGACTACGTGGCGGACCGCTCCAGGTTCAAATGCAGAAGGCGGTGCTCCTCGATACCGCCCGCATCGTCCGCCGGTTTCTTTCCCTTTCCCCCTAGCCCTCGGCCGTTTGGTCTCCCCTGCCGAGGGCCTCCATCTGGTTGGGCTTTTATTTATTTATGTACTTTTATATTTATTTTATGTTATTGATATTTATGTATATTTATCTTTTCATTTTCATTTATTATAATTATATATTTATAGAACCCAACCAGATGAGAAAACTATATAGATACTCCAAATAATAATAATAACCGGGCACAGTCAAGGATATTTTTGGTCGACATTACCATTCCGTATGACGAGAACCTCGTGAAAGCCGAAACAGACAAGCAAACAAAATATCTGGAGCTGGCTCACGAGGTGACCGACATGTGGGGTGGTCTGCCGACCGAAATTATTCCTGTAGTCTTCTCTGCAAACGGGCTATTCCCAGTCAGCCTCTCGGGTCATCTGAGGCGGCTGGGACTACGTGGCGGACCGCTCCAGGTTCAAATGCAGAAGGCGGTGCTTCTCGATACCGCCCGCATCGTCCGCCGGTTTCTTTCCTTTTCCCCCTAACCCTCGGCCGTTTGGTCTCCCCTGCTGAGGACCTCCATCTGGTTGGGCTTTTATTTATTTATGTACTTTTATATTTATTTTATGTTATTGATATTTATGTATATTTATCTTTTCATTTTCATTTATTATAATTATATATTTATAGAACCCAACCAGATGAGAAAACTATATAGATACCCCATAATAATAATAATAATAACCCCTCTCAGTGCCTTACTGGAGGGCTCCGGGAGGGGATTTCAGCTACGGAAAGTAGGGACAAAAGTGACCCACCTTTTCTATATGGATGACCTCAAGTTATTCGCCTCCAGTCGCCCCCATCTTATGGAACTGCTAAACATCACTTGTGAATTTAGCAGTTCCATTGGAATGGAGCTGGGGACGGATAAGTGTGCGGTCCTCCATGTTGAAAGGGGAAGGGTTGCTAACTCTGAGGGCATAGACTTGTCTATGCCCGTCAACTTAAGGACCCTTTCCGAGGCTGAAACATACCGATACCTGGGTATGTCACAGAACATCGGTATCGATGAGGCTGGTATGAAACAGTCAGTTTGCGACGTGTTTTATGCACGCTTGACCAAAGTGCTTAACAGCCTTTTGTCCGGTGTGAATAAGACACACGCATATAATGGCTGGGTCATGCCTGTCCTCATGTATACCTTTGGCATAGTCAGGTGGACTCAGACTGAGCTTAACGCCCTGGATAGAAAAGTCCGCACTACCATGACGTCCCATAGGATGCATCATCCGAGATCGTCGGTAATGAGGCTGTACTTGCCGCGAAAGTATGGTGGGCGTGGCTTTCTGAGCGCGCTCACCATGCATAATCGCGAAGTGTGCAGTCTCCGTCAGTACTTCTTGGCGAGATCGGATGATCCATTCTATAATGACGTCGTTTCTAGTGATAAAGGGCTTACCCCTCTATCCTTAGCCAACGAGCAATGGCAGGACCCAGCAGTGCTTAGCAATTCCGACCGGGAGACCGTATGGAAGGAGAAGGAGCTCCACGGGAGGTACTACAAGACTCTACATGAGCCTTTCGTAGATACAGTTGCCTCCCTCAACTGGCTACGTTTCGGTGACCTCTTCGGGGAAACCGAGGGTTTTGTCTGTGCAATACAGGATCAGGTTATTAAGACCAACAACTATCGGAGATACATCCTAAAGGATGGCACCGTCGACGTCTGTCGAGCTTGTCGCCATCCCGGGGAGTCACTTAGGCATGTCATCTCCGGTTGTTCGGTGCTTTCTAACTCTGAGTACTTGCACAGGCACAACCTAGTAGCCAGAATTCTACACCAGGAGCTCGCTCTGAAATACGGTCTCGTGGACCGGAAATTGCCGTATTACAAGTACTTGCCGGAAGCCGTGCTCGAAAATGACCGCGCCAGGCTCTACTGGGACCGGGCCATCATCACAGACAGGACTATTCTTGCGAATAAGCCTGATATTGTGCTGATGGACCGGGCACAGTCAAGGATATTTTTGGTCGATATTACCATCCCGTATGACGAGAACCTCGTGAGAGCCGAAACAGATAAGCAATCAAAATATCTGGACCTGGCTCACGAGGTGACCGACATGTGGGGTGGTCTGCCGGCCGAAATTATTCCTGTAGTCGTCTCTGCGAATGGGCTAATCCCAGTTAGCCTCTCTGGTCATCTGAGGCGACTGGGACTCCGTGACGGACCGCTCCGGGCTCAAATGCAGGAGGCGGTGCTTCTTGATACTGCCCGCATCGTCCGCCGGTTTCTTTCCCTTTCTCCCTAACCCTTGGCCGTTTGGTCTCCCCTGCCGAGGGCTTCCATCTGGTTGGGCTTATATTTTTTTATGTATTTTTGTATTTATTTTATTTTATTCATATTTATGTATATTTATCCTTTCATTTTCATTTATAATTATATATTTATGCATCCCAACCAGATGAGAAAACTATATAGATACCTGAAATAATAATAATAATAAAAAGGCGTAGGGAATTGACGACCCCATCGCCCGCTGACGTAACAGTTAAGTGACAAAACTGCTACGTCAATGCAGTCAGTCAGCGCCCTGCGAGAGGTGTGAGCGCCGTGCCTCGGCAGAATTTAGGGTGCAGAGGTCCGTTTGTGCTTATGGCTACACACGAAACGGTGCCAGGCCTGGGCGTCTCCCGTTAATGGACGCCCAAATAATGGATGATGGATAAGAAGATAGTGCGCAAAGGGCCGCTGCCTGGGGGTCGCCGGGGCGCGTCTGGAGCTGGCGCTGGACGCGGCAGCATGCAGGCCGCCAGCCGAGCGCGAGGAGCTGCACGGTCACCTAGCAGCCCTCCGCATCCATCATCCCCACCAGAAGGCTTGGTGTCGGCTGGGTCTTCTCGGACTCAGCAAGCGGCACCCGCCGCTGGTGGAGCACGTCGCATGCGTTGGTCACAAGCAATGAATGCAAACGCACTGCGGGCGTACTTTAGGGCAAAAGGGGAAGAAACTGGATATTTGGCGTATCAGGCTAGGATGCATCGTCTTTTTGCTGAGCTGGAGCCATCTTTAACCGTCACAGAGCAAAACCTGGCAGACCGAGTTCGGTATATCTTGCGCTCAAATATATTTGATGTCGTCGAACTCGAACGGCTACGACGTGAGGCTGTTCCCTCGTCGGATGAAAATGCTACGGCTGAGGATGCGGCGCCACAAATGGTAGAGCAACCCGCAAACGTGGATGCCGCGTGAATACCCCAGTTGTGGTTGATTCAAACGATGATGGAACAGTCGCCCAGGAACTGGAATTAGAGCATATGAGGAGTACATTGGAAGAGGCGATTGTGAAAACGCGCAGTACGCCTCTCGAAAATCGACCGCAACTTCCCCGCATAGCCCTAAGCAAGCGGAATCGGGCTGTCGTGAGGGCTCTGAACCCAATGCTGGTGACCTATTTGGAAGCCAGCCGGGACCTTTGCGAGACGGACTCAATTCTTTTTGGCGCCGCGCTGGCAGTCTGCCGTATCATAGGCGCCAAGGTTTCCACGGCTGGACGCGCTACTGGCCATAGTAGCGCTATCCCAGCATGGAGAAGAAGAATTGTCTAGAGCTCTCATCGGCAGACTGATATGCTTCAGATCAGGCAACAACAGGCCAAGAATTGTGCGCACCGTCAGGATGGCGTTTGCTGGGACAAATGTCAGTTTGTCCCAGCCGGATATAACGCAAAAACTGACGGAGCGCATAGATGATCTGAAGCAGAGAATCGCTGCTTGGGGAAAGCGGATTCGGCGATATACCGAGAGGTCGACACGGTTCAACCAGAATCGTCTCTTCCAGAGTGATCAGAAGAGGCTCTATGAATCATTGGAGCGACCAATGGTAAGTGGAACGGGTCCAGCATCGAATCAGGCCGACACTGTAGCATTCTGGCGCGGCCTGTGGTCAGAGCCCGTAAACCACAGCGAGGGCCCTTGGACGGAAGTTGTGGCGAGGCAGTGTGCGGGTATTACGCCCATGAACCCCGTCATCATAACGCCGGATGACGTAGCTGAGGCGGTCCGTAGGGCCCCGAACTGGAAAAGACCGGGGCTTGACGGGCTGCATCACTACTGGCTGAAGGGGTTCATGGTGTGTCACTCTGTGCTCGCCCGACAGTATCAAGAGGCTCTCAACCAGAAGTCGCTCCCAAGCCTCTTCACTACTGGGATCACTCATTTGGTTCCTAAAGACCAGGGTACCACAGACCCGAGCAAATACCGCCCCATCACGTGTCTACCGACCATATACAAGACAATAACATCCATTTTGAGCGCGAGAATCACTTGTCACCTGGACTCAAATCAGGTGATGTCGCGCGCTCAAAATGGATGTCGGGGCGGTGGTCATGGAACCAAGGAACCACTCCTCATTGACGCGGTCATTGGCAAAGTGGTGAAACGCAACCGTCGGAACTTCTCCGCCGCCTGGATAGACTACAGAAAGGCATTCGACTCGGTGCCCCATACATGGCTAAAGAGAGTCCTCGAGCTGTACAAGATAGACTGTGCAGTTAGAGACTTCATTGAGCAGTGTATGGGGCAGTGGAGTACGATCCTTTGCCATCTGGGCGAGCGGATGATGGCTGCGGAGAACCACATAAGGATAGGAAGAGGTATCTTCCAGGGCGATTGTCTGAGTCCAATCTGGTTCTGCCTCTCTCTGAACCCTCTCAGTACCTTACTGGAGGGCTCCGGGAGGGGATTTCAGCTACGGAAAGGAGGGACAAAAGTGACCCACCTTTTCTATATGCATGACCTCAAGTTATTCGCCTCCAGTCACTCCCATCTTATGGAACTGCTAAACATCACTTGTGAATTTAGCAGTTCCATTGGAATGGAGCTGGGTACGGATAAGTGTGCGGTCCTCCATGTTGAAAGGGGAAGGGTTGCTAACTCTGAGGGCATAGACTTGTCTATGCCCGTCAACTTAGGGACCCTTTCCGAGGCTGAAACATACCGATACCTGGGTATGTCACAGAACATCGGTATCGATGGGGCTGGTATGAAACAGTCAGTTTGCGACGTGTTTTATGCACGCTTGACCAAAGTGCTTAACAGCCTTTTGTCCGGTGTGAATAAGACACACGCATATAACGGTTGGGTCATGCCTGTCCTCATGTATACCTTTGGCATATTCAGGTGGACTCAGACTGAACTTAACGCCCTGGATAGAAAAGTCCGCACTACCATGACGTCCCATAGGATGTCGTCGGTAGTGAGGCTGTACTTGCCGCGGAAGCATGGTGGTCGTGGCTTCTTGAGCGCGCTCACCATGCATAATCGCGAAGTGTGCAGCCTCCGTGAATACTTCCTTGCGAGATCGGATGATCCATTCTATAATGACGTCATTTCTTGTGATAAAGGGCTTACCCCTCTATCCTTAGCCAACGAGCAATGGCAAGACCCGGCAGTACAGAGCATTTCCGACCGGGAGACCGTATGGAAGGAGAATGAGCTCCACGGGAAGTACTACAAGACTCTACATGAGCCTTTCGTAGATACAGTAGCCTCCCTCCACTGGCTACGCTTTGGTGATCTCTTCGGGGAAACCGAGGGTTTTGTCTGTGCAATACAGGATCAGGTTATTAAGACCAACAACTATCGGAGATACATCCTAAAGGATGGCACCGTCGACATCTGTCGAGCTTGTCGCCATCCCGGTGAGTCACTTAGGCATGTTATCTCCGGTTATTCGGCGCTTTCTAACTCTGAGTACTTGCACAGGCACAACCTAGTAGCCAGAATTCTACACCAGGAGCTCGCTCTGAAATACGGTCTCGTGGATCGGAAATTGCCGTATTACAAGTACTTGCCGGAAGCCGTGCTCGAAAATGATCGCGCCAGGCTCTATTGGGACCGGGCCATCATCACAGACAGGACTATTCTTGCGAATAAGCCTGATATTGTGCTGATGGACCGGGCACAATCAAGGATATTTTTGGTCGACATTACCGTTCCGTATGACGAGAACCTTGTGAAAGCCGAAACAGATAAGCAAACAAAATATCTGGACCTGGCTCACGAGGTGACCGACATGTGGGGTGGTCTGCCGACCGAAATTATTCCTGTAGTCGTCTCTGTGAATGGGCTAATCCCAGTCAGCTCTCGGGTCATCTGAGGCGGCTGGGACTACGTGGTGGACCGCTCCAGGCTCAAATGCAGAAGGCGGTGCTCCTCGATACCGCCCGCATCGTCCGCCGGTTTCTTTCCCTTTCCCCCTAACCCTCGGCCGTTTGGTCTCCCCTGCCGAGGGCCTCCATCTGGTTGGGCTTTTATTTATTTATGTACTTTTATATTTATTTTATGTTATTGATATTTATGTATATTTATCTTTTCATTTTCATTTATAATTATATATTTATAGAACCCAACCAGATAAGAAAACTATATAGATACCCCACAATAATAATAATAGGTTGATGGAATACGGAAGAACGCACAAAGGGCCGCTGTCTGGAAGTCGCCAGGGCACGTCTGGAGCTGGCGCTGAACGCGACAGCACGCGAACCGCCAGCCGAGCGAGAGGTGCTGCACGATCACCCATCAGCCCCTCGTATCCATCATCCCCATCTGCTGGCTTGGTGTACGGCAGGCTCTTTGCGGGCCCAGCAATTGGCACCCGCCACTGGTGGAATACGCCGCATGCGATGGACAATCGAAATGAATATCAACGCATTGCGGGCGTATTTTAGGGCGAAATAGGGAGAAGTTGGCGGTTTGGCGTATCGGGCCAGGATGCATCGTCTTTTTGCTGAGCTGGAGCAGACCGAGTTCGGTATATCTTGCGCTTTTGATGTTGCCGAACTCGAACGGCTACGACGTGAGGCTGTTCCATCATCGGATGAAAATGCTAAGGCAGAGGATGCGGCGTCACAAATTGCAGAGCAACCGGCAAACATGGAGGCCGCCGTGAATACCCCATTTGTGGTTGATTCAAACGATGGTGTAACAGTCGCCCAGGAACTGGAATTAGAGCATATGAGGAGTAGTAGTAGTAGAAGAGGCGTTTGTGGAAACGGCCAGTACGCCTTTCGAAAATTGACCGCGACTTCCCCGCATAGCCCTAAGCAAGCGGAATCGAGCTGTCATGAGGGTTCTGAACCCAATGCTGGTGACCTAGTTGGAAGCCAGCCGGTACCTTTGCGAGACGAACTCAATTATTTTTGGCGCCGCACTGGCAGTATGCCGTATAATAGACGCCAAACTTTCCACGGCTGGACGCGCTAGTGGACAAAGTAGCGCTATACCAGCCTGGAGAATAAGAATTGAGGAACGTATCGCAAAGGCTAGGGCTCTCATCGGCAGACTGATGTGCTTCAAGTCAGGCAATAACAGGCCAAGGATTTTGCGCAACCGTCAGGATGGCATTTGCTGGGACAAATGTTAGTTTGTCCCAGGCGGATATATTGCAAAAACTGACGGAGCGCATAAACGACCTGAAGCAGAGAATCGCTGCTTGGGGAAAGCGGATTCGGCGATATACCGAGAGGTCGGCAGGGTTCAACTAGAATCGTCTCTTCCAGAGTGATCAGAAGGCTCTATAAATCATTGGAGCGGCCAATGGCCATTGTAATGGGCCCAGCACCGAATCAGGCCGACACTGTCGCATTCTGGCACGGCCTGTGGTCACAGCCCGTAAACCACAGCGAGGGCCCTTGGACGGAAGTTGTGGCGAGTCAGTGTGCGAGTATTATGCCCATGGACCCCGTCATCATAACACCGGATGACGTAGCTGAGGCGGTCCGTAGAGCACCGAACTGGAAATGTCCGGGACTCGACGGGCTGCATCACTACTGACTGAAGGGATTCATAGTGTGTCACGCTGTGCTCGCCCGATAGTTTCAAGAGGCTCTCAACCAGAAGTCGCTCCCTAGCCTCTTCACTACTGGGATCACTCATGCTTCCTAAAGACCAGGTTACCACAGACCCGAGCAAATACAGTGTCGCCCCATCACGTATCTTTCGACCATATACAAGACACTAACATCCATTTTGAGCGCGAGAAACACTTGTCACCTGGACTCAAATCAGGTGTTGTCGCGTGCTCAAAATGGATGTCGGAGCGGTGGTCGTGGAACCAAGGAACCACTCCTCATTGACGCGGTCATTGGCAAAGTTGTGAAACGCAACCGTCGGAACTTCTACGCCGCCTGGACAGACTACAGAAAGGCATTCGATTCGGTTCCCTATACATGGCTAAAGAGGGTCCTCGAGTTGTATAAGATTGACTGTACAGTTAGAGACTTTCTCGAGCAATGTATGGAGCAGTGCAGTGGCGAAGCTTCCATTAAAGCCGAAAAGCCGGGCTTGCCTTATTAAAACTGAATCAATCAATAATATCAATCAATAACATCAACTAATGAAATAACTTCTAAACTGTTTCAAATTATTTCAATTTACCTGCACATTTCACTATTCGACACATGTCGACCGATGACCTCGTATTGCCTTAGCGATACGTTTATACAAAGGTACTCTGTGGCAATACTGCTGCTGTCATAAAGTGAGTTTGAATAGAGCGATTAGTTGTCTCCCTCACTCGCGTGGGCTTTTTACGGGGCTTTCGAGAAGACGATCGCTCTCTTTCTAACCTATGGCAAAATATTCTATAATGAAATATAACTACGAAATGTTTATATAGCAATTACTATTGAGCCAACAAGCCTGGCTTTGCCATGAAGTTGTTTAGGAGTGCGTTAGCGACTAGCGAAGTGGTTGCGGGCCCCTCATATGCAAGTTTACTTCACATTTCAATGTTTATATTTGTTTTTGTTGTGTTTGTTAAAAATTTATGCTTTTTCGAAGATTTTCAGTGAAAATGGGAGGATAATAGTGTTCATTGTGATGAATATAAGTGTGTTGAAGTACTAATCGGCGAAGAAAAGGTAAAAATCTTTAAAAATGAAATTTAATATTCTATAAACATTGCTTCATACTTTAAATATAAGTACAGGACTCTTTAGTATTAAAGTTTAATTAAGTTAGGCGTATTTAAAAGTTTAATAACTCAATATTAATATACGAATTAAAAATATCAATTAGAACAGCAGCATAAAGTATGAGACATAGGTTTAATTTTAGAGGAAATAAGTGTTACAATCTTTTTTTAACGTGAAGCCCAAATTTTAATTAAATAAATCAAAAGAATACAGAAGAATGTATTAAGGTTTTTAAAGAATAGTACTCCCTTTAGTTATTTCCAGTTAGGTTTCTCTGTCTACTTTTCAGTATATAAAATTTTAATGGCGCCATCTACTTAATTTTATAGGTAAAGTCATTTTATCGAACGAAAATTGCTTGATTTTCACGATGGTACCTAAAGATTACGCTAGATGGAACAAATACGCTATCGGCTAATTTATAGTGATATATGAGTTTAAAAATATCATTTTGTACGGTTTATTATGAATGGAAAATGAATAATTATAATTATAATAAATAGTAATTATTTTATGGTAAAAAATTAGCAAAGCTTTATCTTCTCATTATAACTATCTAATTCCAATCGTAATCTGTTCTTTTATGCATATAACTTAAACAAAATATAATTTCGAGGTTTCATTTTGTACGGTTCATTATGAATGGAAAATGAATAATTATAATTATAATAAATAGTAATTATTTTATGGTAAAAAATTAGCAAAGCTTTATCTTTTCATTATAACTATCTAATTCCAATCGTAATCTGTTCTTTTATGCATATAACTTAAACAAAATATAATTTCGAGGTTTCATATCTGCCAGGCGTCCCTTTTTTAACTTTGTACATAGTTTGTTTGTACTTTGTTCATGTATTGTATTGTTTGTAAATATCTCAAGCAAACCCAAACGGCTCTTTTCAAAACCAACGAAGGTGTGCAATTGCATATTATGTCATACAATCTATCTAGCGGTAGTATGCTTTATGTGTGCTTTGTTAAACACGTCCTTGTCAGCACTGAATATGAAACTAAAGAGTGGAGACAGCTCAAGATTGGTGTATTTTTATTAAACTGCTAAAAACAACAAAACCATATCTTGGGCTTGCCCTAGTTTGGAGCCCTAGCTTCACCACTGGGGCAGTGGAGTACGATGCTTTGTCATCTGGGTGAGCGGATGACGGCTGCAGAAAACCGCATAAGGATAAGAAGGGGTATCTTCCAGGGCGATTGTCTGAGTCCAATCTGGTTCTGCTTCTCTTGAACCCTTTCAGTACTATTACGGCCCTCAGTTACCCCGACAAAAGTCGATTGGACTAGGACCCATAGTAATCCAACTCGACGAGTAACTGAGTTGAGGGCCCAAAAGCCTATTGATTATTAATTTATAACGGCTGTATAAGCAAACACAAACTTACCGAATTACGGAGTGTAGGGTCGAACACAAGGCGTCGTCAGGGGCAAGTAAATGATATGTGTGAGTGGTGTAGGAAAGTGTATATTGACGTCACCGATATAATCGGATAGCAGAACCACATGCGCTGCCCAGCTCCTCTTGTGCAATCACTCCAGAGGGCATTAGCCGCTATCGGAACTCAAGTCCAACGTCACTTAGCACAAATATAATCGGAGGGAACGCTATCTCCTCCGGATCACAAAGTTCAGCGTCCCACACATCATCATTACAGCCCTTCAAAAGTCCACTGCTGAATATAGGCCTCCCCCAAGTAATGCCACAAAGCACGGTCCTGAGCCACTTGCATCCATCGACTTCCTGCATGTCTTACCAGGTCGTCACTCCATCTAGTGGGGGGTCGCCCTACACTACGCCTACCGGTACGAGGCTGCCACTCGAAAACCTTTCTTCCCCATTGGTTATCGGTTCTTCGAGCCGCCGGATGGCCGGCCCATTGCCACTTCAGCTTACTAATCCGTTGGGCTATGTCGGTCACTCTGGTTTTACTGCGGATATCCTCATTTCTGAGTCTATCACGCAGTGAAACTCCGAGCATAGCTCTCTCCATAGCTCGCTGAGCGACCTTGAGCGTCCTCATACGGCCAGCGGTGAAGGACCACGTCTCAGATCCGTAAGTCATCACTGGCAACACGCACTGGTTATACACTTTAGTTGCAGAGATTGAGGTATACCTGACGAGAAGATGTGTCGTAATTTCCCGAACGCTGCCCAGCCGAGTTGAATCCGTCGATTGACCTCTCGGTCGAAGTTGGACTTACCTAGTCGGACTATTTGTCCCAGGTAAACGTACTCGTCAACAACTTCTAGCATAGTGCTCCCAACAACTACCGGCATAGGTGTGACATGGACATTAAACATGATCTTTGTTTTGTCCATGTTCATCTTAAGACCTATCCGTTGGCAGACACCATTGAGGTCATTGAGCATAGTGCTAAGGTCCTCTAGCGATTCTGCCATAAGGAATATATCGTTGGCAAATCGAAGGTGAGTGATGTACTCGCCATTGATGTCAATACCGTATCCTTTCCAGTCCAGTAGCTTGAAAACGTCTTCCAACGCAGCGGTGAAGAGTTTCGGGGATATAACATCACCCTGTCTTACACCTCTCTGCAGTTGGATAGGTTTCGTACTCTGGTTCTGTACTCGGATAGCCATCGTAGCCCTACTGTACAAACACTTCAGCACTTCAATATACACCGCTGAAGAGACTGTAGCACCGCACAAATTTCGAATGAATCAAAGGCTTTCTCATAGTCCACATACGCCAGGCAAAGTGGCAGATTGTACTCTTCGGACTTCTGTACAATTTGCCGAATGGTATGTATGTGGTCTATGGTACTGAAGCCTTTTCGGAAACCGGCTTGTTCGGGAGGCTGGAAGTCGTCGAGTCTGCGTGCGAGACGATTCGTAATGACTCTCGAAAACAGCACGTAGACACGGCTTAGAAGGGAAATCGGTCTGTAGTTCTTCAAGAGAGCGTTGTCGCCTTTCTTAAAGAACAAGACCACTGCGCTTCTGCTCCACGCCTCCGGAGTAGTGCCACCATGGAGGACGGAATTGAAGAGCTTCTGAAGGTCTTCAAGTACCGGTGTTCTACCCGCTTTCAGAAGCTCCGCTGTAATTCCATCCTCGCCCGGGGCCTTGCCGTTTTAAAGTGGTGAAGAGCCATTCTAATCTTGCTCAGACTGACGTCCGGGATATCATCGGAATAGTGTCGGATAAGACTTGCTCTTGGATAGTTACTCACACTTTCGTGTGGCTCCAACGATGATGTGTACAGCTGCCCATAGAACCTCTCAATCTCACTCAGAATCTCAGGTGTCCCGGAAACG